GCAGCCCAGGGGCGGTGGGTGCGGCGGCCGCGGTATGTGGGTTTGTACTCCCTGTGCTCCCTGCCCTGTGCTTCTCACTCAGACCACCGAGCTCATGTTCTTTTCCATGCTCTCCTTTGAGGAGCACAGACCTAAAAATGAGGCGCTTCAGGTCTGGACTCCAAATTTGTCGCGTTAACGTGTGGGTTTGAAGTTCATCCCTCCTCCCCACAATCGACAATCTTCTTGCTCTCGTCCGTATAAGGCCCACTCAAGGCACAAAAGCCAAGCTGTGCTATTTATATTTCTTCGTCCAGCGCTACCTACCCTACACATTGTACGGCTGAGGTTTATGTTCTATCCTGCTCTTGTAACCACCTGGCCCTTCCCAGAGAAGCTCCACGTCTCGTGAGACGGAGCAGCCACCGGAGTCACCTGAAGAGCAGAGGAGCCCTACGGGAGCCCCCGAATCCGGCAGCGTGGGGAGCAGCCCGTCCGCACACCTTTGAGAAAGGCTGCTCTCTTTCCAACAAACAATGCCGCACATCACGAGCCAGACTTCCCTTGAGCTCAGCGCCCACATGAGCCTCAAAATAAAGGACCAGCACATATTAGAAATGCAACATTCAATATGCGTGCTGCAAGCATTCAGATGGCTGGCTGCAAGAAAATCAGGCCTTTGACATTTGCAAAAATAAGTTTAATTGTTGAAAAGTGCTTGGAGGAAAAATGCCGTGCTTACGTAAGCGCTGACACGTGCCGTTCCTCAGATGAATGTGGCACGCTGTCTGGTTTTAGAGCAATAGCTTTTTGCATGGGACATCCATTATTTAATCGTGAACTGCAGTAACCAGCCCCAGATTCTTGTATCCGAAAACCAGGAGATTTTGGGATGAAGTCACTTTAGTTTGTTTTTACTAGCAACTACTCTAACCAAATTTGTTGGTGTCCTAATTTCTCTGAAAGACAGGAGCCCAGGACAGATGGCACAAAGGAAGCACTGAGGAGCTCTGTTCCCATGGGCTGCTAATAAGTGCACGTAGTCATTTGCCATCAGACTTTTTAGGAAGGCGGGTCCTGTTTACGGTAAGAGTACTGAACTCCTGTTTACACAGCCGCTTGTCGAAAGTCTGTCACCTTTGCTTTTGGTAGGCTCGTTTTCAAAACAAAAAGATGTGGTAATTTGGTGGGAGTGTGTGTATTTTTTTCAAATTTTATTCTCAAGAATCAATCTAATTCCTTACATCAAGTGGGTACAAAACCTCTTACCTTGGTAGAAATCAGACCAGCTCCTGACAAACTCAGGTAAAAGTGTATTTGAGAGAGTGAGCAAGTGAGAAAGCACACGCACATATATATGTGACTGCAAGTAACAGCCTGTAAACATTCTGCTTAATGCCGTGCCCTTAGCCAGCCCCAGTGGAAGCGATTTTCAGTTCTGCTCTTTCTCCCCCAAAGTTCGGAACTAAGCAGGCAGATGTGCTTTACGCTCACCTCGACAGGTCGAGCTTTCCCTGAATATAATTTGCTTTCCTCCTAATCTAACAGCTAGCAAAATACAACTCTTGCAGGTAGTTTGACCTCTTCTCCCAAGGTGCCAAAAGGTCTTATTTGCACTCCTGAAATAGTCCCTCCGTAACTGCTGGAGACTCCGTATTCAACATTGAGAGAATAATCGAACATCTACAACTGCTAAAGAGCTGATTAATTTTCACCTCCTTTATTTTTCTTCAAACCAGAGAGTCATGCAATATTAAATCCCTGTAGAGCATGACTACTGTTGTACACAGCTATCTTGATTGAAAATAGCTCCTGCTGGTTGTATGTAATAGTTTATGTCTCTTAAAATGAGTTTCTCTCTTATTCTCAGAAAGAAAAGACTAATAAATCTTTGCATTTTTAGCCATAGCAACTGAAAATGCAATTGCACAGGAAAGTTAATCACAGCTCCCAAAGGCAGCTTTTTCTGAGTTAGAAAGTAGTAATAATGTTGCTCACCATCACAGAATTAATTACATTTCCAAGAAAGTATCGAACATAAACTTTGATAGGTAGTGGGTCTTGAGAAGTGAAACACTGACTTAGAAAAGAGTTATAAAGAGTTATTTGTAATTTTTTTTTTTTTTATGATTGACACGGGAAAACACAGTAAATTCCCCTCGTTTAAACTCCCCGGGTGGAGCCCATCGTAAAGTTTTGGGTTTATAGACTCTTGATACATTTTTTTTAAATGTCATGATTATTA